GAGATGCCAATGTCGATGGCGATGGCGATGCCATTTAACCCACCTCCCCGCCATACCTCTTTCTTATTTGGGTTTCTCTTTTGTGCTTACGCTTTGGGCATAATTTGCATGTAGTCAAGTGTAGGACCTTAACAGCAATTTCTGTTTGTGTGTTGGCCCTGAAAGGGTTAAACGCAACACCAACAATATTCAAAAGGGGCGTTAACCCAAAAGAAGGCAGCAGAAAAAAAGAGGAAATCGCGCCAAAAGTTGTTGGGCCTCCGGTTTGGTTCCTAAAACCTCCGGTTCTTCCTCTTACCATAAAACGCCAACCAACATATGGACGGGTCGACATTTTATAGCCTCCGGATCGGTTTCATTTTTTTGGCAGACCACAAAGAGCTGTCCCCCTCCCCCCTCCCACTCAACACTCTATCTTTACCCAAAAAAAAATATAAAAAAGAAGCTGAAAATCCTCCAATATCGAATCAAAGTCCTTTAAACCCTTTTTTTTTGTTTGGCTCTTTTTCTCTTGGCTTTTAATAAAGTGTCGACATGTGTAATTTGTGAGGGGGGCTTAGAGGATTTTCGTTGGGTGGGGGCAACTCTGGCTTGACCCCCCACCCAACCAATAATATTAATAAATTATGAGCAGCCAGCCGTCGGTTTCTTTTGTGTTGCGGTCAGCAAAAAGGAAAATGCGTGACTGGCTTTTTATTTTTGGGGAATTTCGTGTCTGACTTTTGTACTCCTTTTTTTTTTAGTATTATAATTCTGGGTATTTCTGACCATTTGAACTCTTGACCCGGGCAAGGCTGCTTCATCTTCTTTTTTTCGTCGCCCTCTTCCTTATTGAATTCAAATTGTTGTTCTTGTCTGTCTGTTTTCCAGCTTGTTTTTTTTGGCTTCAACGAAGAAAAACAGCAAAATGCAAGACCAAGAGTTGACAGCCGGTCCTGGGGGTTACCCAAAGAGTCCTGCCTATACTCGAATCTGTTCCTGTTTCTGTTCGATTTCCACCCCGGGACATATTCCGTCTCATTTTTGTGCTCATTTACTCTCTTTCCTGGCCGCCTGTCTGTTGCTCTGTCTATTTTGACTTTAACAACGTCAGCAACACCCCCCCAGTAAGGGGCAAAAACATACACAGCCCGTGTCTATATGGCCAGAATCATCATTAACGCTGTCCGAGGGTTGTCTGTAAAGTACTGGAGGTTTTTTTTGGTTGGGAGTAAGAGGAAGTCTGGACTGGAACCCAAAACTGAAGTACCTTTGGAAAAAAGTTGTTAGCTGCTTTAGGCTGGAGGCACAGTGGAGCTAAAATAGTTTATTATGGGTGGAATGGATGGTTTACCCAAGGGTGGATGTCTAAAGAGGATGAAAACTACAAAGGAAGGGGAAGTAACTTAAGGTATAGAAGGTCAAAAACTAAGGAAAACTTTAACTTTAAATAACTTTCCCATATTAATCAATCTTAAACCACTGTTCCCTGTCCAATGCCTTGCCCAGTTCTTGCCACTCATCTCTTGTAGTCGTAATAATTTGCAGCTTCCACCATCATCATCAACACGCCCCCAACTAAAACACGATGCAAGGGCCAGCTGTAAGGATTCCCTTAGCTCTGGACAAACTCCTCCATCATCTTCTTCCATACCCTTTGGCCTTTCGAAACTCGCGACGGCATAAAATTTATCTATAATAAATTAAAAACTCCTTAAATGTTGGCAAAACTTGGTTTATGGCTATGGGTTCTTGCGCCCCCTTCCTTATGCCCATTGCCCACCTCTTTTTCGTTGTGTTTTATTTGTGGCCCTAAGCGAAGGGAGGAACAAAAAAAAAAAATCAGCTAAAACGAAATTTTCTATATTGTTTCGGTCTTGTAGTTGCCACTTTTGGTCTACACAAAGGGAAATTTTTTGGGGGTTTTGTTTGAAAGGTTTGTTTAAGGGAAGGGTGTTTTGTAAGGGTAAAATGGACACCCCTTAACTTTACATTTAAAATTTAACTTTTCTTATGATTTTTTAGATATATTTTAAAACCTTAAATTTCTTTACAATTTTCCTAACTTATTTTATTTGCCGTGCACTAGTCGTGCTCTGTGGAATTCAAGAAGGAGGTAGGTAGGCGGCTAAGGTGGCCCATAGTGACTCTTGCAGGGCAGTTTAGTCGCTGTCCGGTTCTTGTTTTTACTGTTTTGCCAGCTCTTAGCCGCGCTGCTGCTGTTGCTGCTGATGGTCGGATGCTCACGCGGTCGGCATGAAAACTTATGTCGGCGGCCTTTGGGCGCAATTATTTATACATGCCTCATAAAAATCGCAAGACAATGGGACCCAGCTAGCTAAAAAAGAAAAAAAAACAAGAAGTAAAATATATATACAAAAAGGGACTAACAATGCAAGTCTCTGGACTCCTTTTGTTGTGGTCAATGTTGCAACTTCTTGCCTGCCGCTGCTAGGGGCATTTTATTCTTAAAGGTAAAAGTGTGGTGTGGGAGAGGGAGGGGGGATGGAGGCTACAATTACCCATAGAAGAGGCAGTCTGTTTGATTTTGGTTCGGTAATAAAGATAGATCGATGGATCAGCGGTTAGATCTTTTGACCAGAGCCACAGGAAATGATCGCCGATCAAGACAAGGCATAAAATCTTAAGTAGAACGAAACCGATAAATGTTTTGATGATATGAAGAGGGTTGCGAGATAAGGAAAAACAATTTAATTATGTTTTTATAGAAAGGAGAGTTTGGCTTTAAGAGAAGTTGGGTAAAAACTTTGTAACGCTTCCCCCAAAACACCCCCCAAACTGCTTAATCTAACTCCCTTTGCCTTCTCAGCTTGATTCAGCTTAATTTTCCGCTGCTGGCCAATTTGAATCCCTCAAAATTAGTTCATTAAAATTTAAATTTAAATTCTCAGCGCTTTCGTGACTTAAAGTTGGCTTAAAAGCTTTAAGAATAATATCAGATAAAAAGTTGGTTGGACCAATTTAGTGGCGATTCTGAAGAACCCTCGAAACTGCTGGTGGTTTATGTTATTGTTGCGGATCCGTTTCCTTATGCGCACCCAAATATGCGTAAATATTGCCCCAGTCAACAGTTCTCAGTGCGCTCTATCTCTTTCTGTCTGCACTTGCTTATCGCTAACATCGATTTCCTCCCTCTCTCCCCTATACATACATACATACATACATACATATCTCTTCCTTATTCAAAGCTCCCCAAAAGCAGCAGAAAAACGCAATTTGCGCCGCTAACCTAACGATGATTGCCGAAAACGCTGAAAAGACAGGGGCTGCTGTGTCCAGAGGGGGGGTGGGGGTGGAGGAAGGATGGAGGATTTTAAATTTTTAATGGGAATTTGAAATAAAGCACAGACAGAGAGACAAGTTGCTGGGACAGGGACAGTCAACACTTTCCGGGGGAAGTTTGCTCTTTGACAGAGAAACTGACGACTGCAGCAAAGCTTTGGTTCCCGTTACTCTCTGTTTTGCTTTGGTCCAAAGGGGTTTTGCACTAAGAGAAATACTGTCTAGAATTAGTTCAGGCAGAAGTTAAAGAAATAAAAATTAAAAAAATTTTAATTTATAATCACAAATGTAATAGAACAAGATTTTAGAATTTTCTTTTTCACAAAGAAACTATTTAGATTTCAAATATATTTTAATATATTTCTCTCAGTCTAGCATATTTGTTTTCGATGTGAGAAGAAGTAGACAAAAAATCTTACTGCAGTCCAGGGCTGCTCGACTTTATCACCAAGCTGAGCTCTGAGCTCACTTTGAGAGACTCTTTGTGGCGAAGCCATGCAACAATATTTTTTCGTACATCTTCACCTCTCCTTCGTTTATTTTTACCCGCCCTCGGGGTTTTTGTTTGAGTGTGTGTTATGTGTGCGTGCGTGTGTTATGTTATCTAAAATTCAAATCTCTTGCGGTTTACAATGCGCCAGAACTCCGAACTTCGTTCCATCTGTCTCGCTCACTTCCATAGAGTGAGTACCGAATTGCCGTGGACTGTCTGCTTTTAAGTACAGGGAATCTTGCTTATAGCGATCAGAACTAAGACTAGATATATTTTTTAAAAAAATATAATTAATAACAGATGAAAAACAAAATTCATAAGCTTAATTTTTACAAAGGCAATGAAACGATATGTAAGAATACCTCTTAGCGAGGTAGTACTGTCTCTGCCTTTGTAAGTGCGTTTGCATTGTTGCCAAACTTCGTAATGCAATTGTTTCTGCGGGGGTTGATTTCGCCTCCGCCTTTTTGGAGTTCAAGGTTGAGTTGGGTTTCCAGATGGAGTTCGGGATCTCTGTACCGGGAAATCTCATTAAACTGCAGTTATTGTTCGAGTCCGGAGTTTGGACTTTGTGAATGTGTGCAGAGTTGTCAGCCCCGATGAGATTTTTGGATAAATGAGGGTTGTCCTGGTACTTGGGTCCCTGATGTCATTTGTGAGATTGCTTCGCCCTGAAGGCACAATTTCAAAATTGTTCTCTCAAAATTTATGCTAATTTGGTGATGTTCTTTTAGTTATTAACAATTTCTAATGGTATTTTGATGTTAATAGAAAGATTTGGGATTTGGTTGTTAAAAGGGTTGAGTGTATTAACGGATGAGAAAATATCAAAAAAAATATTATTAGTAGTTAATTAATCTTTTTAAGCAACCTTTTTAAGATTCAAATATCCTGCGATTTCTTGCCTGTATAATCGCTTATTATTAATTAGCCATTTGCAAGTTGAATTATCAGATTTATCAATCGGTCTATAACTTAAGCTTACATTTCATACATACATATATTGTCCCATTAATTTGTGTGCCTTGGCTAAAAGCCGCCTCCTTTAATCCCCTTTAATTACAACTCTCAATCCAATTTTGGGACGCATTTAATTTAAGCCTTATTAATTAATCGCCGCCTGCAAATGAATTTGCCTTCTTTGTAGGCTTTCTCTTTTACTCTTTCACCCCACACTTGACTTCACAAATTTCCTGATTCGTTTTTGTTCTTCTTCCTTTTGTAGGATCTTCATGACTGTGGAGCACCATGTCATGCCATGTTCTTCCCGGAAAGAGAAAGAACCGTTCTACGTTATTGGGTTGGATCCTGGGCAGCGGTCTGTGTGGCCAGTTGCCTGTTTACGGTGAGTTATTTAATATTTTAAGGGAATTTAATTGGTTTTAACTAGGCAAATGGCAAGCAAATTTGCTGTTAAGCTAAGCTAAAGTATCAAAGTGTTCAGCAAGGTGAAGGTGTAGTTATATCATTAGAGGAAAACTAACTAACAGGGAACTAAAAACCAATTAGTAAAATGAGGAAATAGCTTTACATTGATTTACCAAAAGAGAAGATAAATTGGAATGAAATATTTATAAAAACACTTCAAAAATAGAAGAGCTCTATAAAAAAATACTGTAACTAAATCCCTTTTAAGCATTTTTAGTAAACCAGAAATTTGCTTTGATTTTTTACAACTTTTCTTTCATAGAAAAAGGCTATTTAAAAATCACAAAAAAAAACTAGTTTAAATTCTGGAAATAACAACAAAATAACCTTTCCCATTTAGCCACCTTAAAGACCACTCAACAATATTGTTTTTTATTGGTTTTCACTGCTAGCATTTTGGCCTTATCCTTGCCAGCCAGAGTGCTGACATATTTTCTTTGAAAGCAGAAAGTAAACATCTTTTACGGGTGAATCCTGTTACTACAGTAGGTCTATTATTCTTAGGGAAACGAGGGGTGTGGGGGAGGGAAAAACTATATAGAAAAGGTGAAGGAGGGAAGCCAAGACGAAGGCGTTGGCACTTTAGCAAATCCCACGCATTGACATATTACCTGTCAGCGCATATTTTTCAATAAACTTGGCAAAACATATGCAGAAGCCAAGCCAAGCCATCAAGGACAAGCACAGCCAACACCCCCACAAACCCCCCTGAGAAACCACCCAAGGCGTTCTTGGCAAACAGGATACCTTTGATGGAGTAAGAATATATATAGTATATATATATATATATATATAGTAGGGAAAACGTAGTTCGAGTTGGCATGTGGCATGTGTGAATGTGGCGGACGTCATCGACGGCGGCAGCGACTGGTTGTGGGAGGACAAATGGCAGAACAAAAGTAAATTTCAAATATTATTAGAATTGCCCTTTGATATTTCGGAATGTCCTGGGCATGCCATGTCCTTCTCAGCCTTCCTTTGATACGACTTACTATATATTCGAATGCCTTCAGGATGGATGAGCTCTGAACTAATATTGGAAATAGTTCTTGCATTGTAATCCTTGCCATTCCCTCTCTCTGCCCAAGAAAATCAAATTGGAAATGTGGCTACCAAGAAGGCAGTGAAGCCTTCGACAAACTTAAAGAGTTAAAGGTTAGGAAGGAAGGAGTTTATTTTGAGGGTTAAAAGATAGATGAGAGGGAAAACTAATGGGCTTTAGTTTATGGATTTTTAACAGCTTTCGTGTTAAAAATGAAAGAAAATAAAGAAAATTGCTATTGGTTTGAGATTTATTTGCTTTCTTGATCATTTTTCCTATTTGATAACAATTATAGCACTTTATTTTCCATTTATAACCTTGCCCTTAACCATTTCCTTTAACCATAAATCAATCAATTGCCTTGTCTAATTATCCCATCTCCTTGAAACTATTCATCATGTGAAAGGTCCTGCCAGGGATGCTGCTATCTCTCTGGCCTTCATGTCTACTCACTCCATTTCCTCCATTACTTTCACATATGGAAATCAACTTGTTAGTCAGAAATTTTCCCCTCTAACGGAAAATGTGTGTGTTCGCTTTGTTTACTTTTCCTCATATCCATCAAGTGTAGAAAGAAAAAACAAAAAAAAACTCGACAAAATTTGAATAAAAAATCAATTTAGGAGCTCTGGACCGGGCATATGACACACACACACACACACAGGGGCACTAATCAACAGGAGGAACAAAAAATGAATATGATAACCATGCTTATAATTCCCAAGCAATCAAAAATGGGGGTGGAGGAGGCTGAGATATAGAAACGACAAGCCGAAAAAGCACATCTATCAAAATTGGAGAGGTCCCTGACTGACTAGCACACATTCGCCCGAAAACTGCGCTACATCCATCAGCCTTTAGAGAACCTTTTTTTTGGGGGGGTGTGGGGGTTGGAGTCTGTAAGGGGTGGCCCTCTACAACCCCCTTTTGGGAACATTGTCACTCACATGGCAACATGTTTTGCATGTGCTGTCTCCCTTTGATTCTTTCCCCTCTTCTCTTTCTCTTTTCTCCATTTTTGTGATAAATTTTTGTCATTGCATATAATTTGTCGCCCATTGTCAGTGCCAGATATGCCACCCCCTTCCTTCCCCTTATGGGCGTGGCATATATCAGTGCAACATCTCATAACAAACAACAAATTCTATGCAAATTTTTCGAAATTGTTTTTCCAGGGCCAAAAGTGGGCGTCTCTTTCATTTGGTAGCTCATTCTACTTACTTTTTACGATTATTATTATGTTCTCTGCTGAGTTCTCTTCTCTTCTCCATCTCATTTTCATTTTCATTTTCATTTGCTTTTCGAATTTTTGCATTTTCCACGCATTCATCAGTTTCAGTTCATGGAAATTTTTGTTGCCTCTTCTTGTGTTTTGTTAGTTAGTCAAGTGCAACATTTTTTGCCCAATGATGATGATGATGAAAATGTTTTTATTCCCATTACGTTAGTTTATTTTATGGATTTTTCTGATTGATTTCCATGCATGAAAATCATTAAATTGGAATTGATTGCATTTTATGTTTGGTTTTGTAGGGAACTAAAAAAAAGGTGGGAAAATGATTTCCTCTTTTTTTTTCTTCTAATTTAACTTGGCTTTAAAAGTGATTTTAGTATTAGTTTGTCAAAAATGTCTTGCGGCATAAAATTGGTTACAATAATGCGATTCAAGTCAAATATGCGCCGTTTTGTTCGATGACGAGATGCCAACTTCCCAACGAGATGCCAACTTCATAATGCCCCTCTCATAGAAGCTCGCTTCCCTATTGGCAAAAAACTCGGAGCGTGGGGCATCTTCGACCACCTCTACACCAGAACGAAAACGTTGATACCATCGTTGTGCGGTGGAAATGGAAACTGTATCGGGTCCATAAACTGCACAAATTTTATTAGCGGCTTGAGATGCATTTTTGCCTTTATCGTAGTAGTACTGTAAAATATGCCGTATTTTCTGTTTATTTTGCTTCATGATTGCGACGATATAACTCACGAAAGACTTTAAAGAAAAGACAATCAATCAAACGCGGGTTAGCGCGTGAAATGAGCTTTCCAAAAAGGTACAGAATGACCTGATGCCACGAATTAAACAAGAACTACGCGCCCTCAGCGCCAACTAGCGAAAATACCGCAAGACTTTTTTGACAATCTAATATTTAGTTTTTTAAAAAATTTTTTTTTAACTATTTTGGAAAGTGTTTTTCTCTCATTTTGATGGCCTTAAAAATTTCAACCAAATAAGCCTTTATAAGCCCTGGAAAATGTGGAAATTCTTTCCCCTTGCAATTTGAATGGCTTTTTATATAGCAAAGCAGCTTCCTCTTCCGTTTGCCATTTTTCCGAGCGGAGGCGAGTATAGTGCTCAATACATCTCAATAAATGTCCCATGAAATGTGGGTTATGTTTGTTTGTTGATTTTAATAAACTTTCTCTTTCACTATCGCTCACTCTCTCTCCTCTCTCTCTCTCTCTCTCTCTCTCTCTCTTTATCTCTAAAAGTGTGTTTTTGGGCTTAAAAAAATAGCAATGACACAGAAATATGTCAATGAAAATGAAACAGAAAAGAAGAAAAAAGGGGGAAAAAAAGAGGAAAATAAAAGACATACATTAGAAAATTGTAGTTGATCCTTTGGCCTAAGTGGGCTGGCAAATATATATCTCTATATATATTATTATATATCTAAAAATATTTGAACAGTCATGGAATGTTTGCCTTTCAGCTTGAAATGTTGCACATTTTTATAGATTTCATTTTTTTGACATTCAAAAAAAGAGAACGAAAGTGTTTGGCTAATTGATTGAAAAGAATGAAAATGTTTTAGAGAAAATCTAAGAAAAAACAATTTACAAATTGTAATAAAAACTTCAATTCTAGAATGATAAATTATTAACTAACAAAGTGAGGAAATTGCTACACAACTTCTGGCCATTTTTCATACAAAATAAAATGATTATTTTGATATCAGAGCAGAGGTAAGAAGAACGTCAACTTCTACGACAAGTTAAAGTTTCATAAAACGTGAAAAGTAATCCCCAACTTTTTCCCCAACCAATTTCCTATGACAGTTGAAGTTTTCCTAACCCTTCGGGGGGGAGGTGGTAAACCTTTGGGGCTTTTCATTTCAAGTATCAAGTAAAATTATAAACAAGCACATTTTATTTCAATTTTCGCGAAACTAAAACAAATATTTTTGCAGCCACAGAAAGTTTCTGGCACAGCGACAGGTAAAACTGTCTGAGGGATTTTCTCTAAAAGGGAAAACTTATGTGTGGAAATGGAAAAGGGGGAGTGTGTGTGTGTTTGTGTCACATCAACAACTGTCAACAATCAACACCTTTTTCATTAAGCGCATTAGATGAGTTGAGACAATGAGTGAGCGCAGGCGAAACCCTGCTCATCTTCTTTTCTTATTTTTTTTTTGCTTGACTTTTGGTTTTCCAATGAAAAGCGAAAAGAGGAAATGACAATGTGTGTTTGCTGAAAGAGCAAATAATCGTCTAGTCGTTGACTTTGATGACATTTTCTTAATTACAAGACATGATGATGATGCTGCTGGTGCTGTCAAGAGAATCTGGTTGAAAAAAGAGGGAAAAATCGAAAGGCAGAAACTGAAAGTTCAGTGAGGTGAATATTTCATTCTCATGGTGACTGCACCATTCCATTTTCCCTTTTTTGACAGTTTATTTTTCTTCCACAATGGTATTAATAGTTTTTAAATATGCAACAAATATTTAATCATAAAAAAAACATGCCAATGCCATCAGAAATGTCAGAAACAGCAACAAAAATATAAAAAGTTTGCCGCAAAATTTATGCCGCAATCGCGCGCTGTCCAACCTGACTGAAATGTTTATGTTAATAGTTAGTTATTCTAATGGATGGATCCACCCTAAAAAAAAGAAACCAAAAACTATTGTTGTTTTCCTTTCCCTATGCAAATTTATACAATTTTTATTTGGTTTTTCTTTTTTTTAGTCTGTTAGTTGCGAGTTAAATCTAATTTATGCAAAATTCAAAAACTGCCAACCGCTGCTCTCAAAGCTTTTCTGTGGCTTTTTGGTTTTCAACACTCCAGCCAAGATGAGTGGGCGTTTTGGTGGGTGTAACCACTTTAGTTTTTGAAATGATTTTAATGACCCGACAGACGACTCTACGAAATTTATGAGCGCTAGAAATTGAAATTATTTTACTTCTTTTTTTCTCTGTCTTCATTGACCATGAAAGGCGCGGCAACGGCGACGGCGGCTCGAGTTAAATAATTTATTTTTGAAGTTGGTTGACGAAAATGTTTTGGTGGAAGTTTAACTAAAGAGGTGGACTATGGAAATGGAAAAGCCAATGCAGGAAAAGTTTTCTTCTCTTGAGGTAGCAGAAGTCACCTGAGGTCTTGTAGTGGAAGTTTTATGGAAGTTGAAGTTGGGATTTTGTAGAAAGTTTGAGGCGCTTGGAAATTGTAGAGAAATATTTAGCAGTTTTGGGTTTTCATAATCAGCCTTGGGGTAATATTTTTTGGTTTTTTCGATTAATGAAAAGTGTCTAGAAAGGAAATGAAAGCCATTTTGATGAGTTAATCTAATTAATTGATAATATTTGGTAAGATTTTTAAACTTATTTTTAAGGTAGGCTTAAAAAGCTAAGAACTGGCTTAATATCTTAGCAAAACTGCAACTTTTCCTAGCCTAAACTTAGCTAAAAATAACCTAAAACCTCTTCATAAAGTGTTAGATTACAAGAAACTTTTCCCAAAAAACAAAGCTGCGTTAAATTCCCAAACAATTTTCGCAGAACTCTGCTTTGGCAGGGAAAACCTTTTCTCCATATTTTTGCATCCTACGAATGCCACTCAAACTAAGCTCTTCTCTAGAGTGAATTTCCTTCGAGTTTCGTGTGTGGGTGTTGCCCCCAAAAAGAAACGTTGCATGTTTTTCGAGAAAACTACCGCCCCCAATGACGCATAATTTGTGGGCGTGTCTAAGAAGGAGGGATGGTGGAAGGGGGGCATGACTGCCAAAAGAGACAAAAGAGGAGTCTGTGCCAAATGTTTCAACATTTGCAGCTTATTTCGTTTCATTTGTAGCCAGTCACACCTACAGAAATGTGTTTCCCCCCTCCGCCCCCTTCATGCGTGGCATAACAAATTGCCACGGGAAGTTGCAGGAGGTAGGTTTGGGTGGCCACCCTTTTTCTTGTTGTTTTTCTGGCATAAATAAACAATTCAATTCAATTTCTCAGCTTGTTTCTTCTGCAGCGGAGCGTTGGTTGTCAACAAAAGGAGTTACAAACTGACTGGCTTCCTCCCTACCTCCCCCCTCCCCTATTCTCTTCACTGCTTTCCCCCTTTTTAGGAATATATTTTGCATTTAAATGAGGATTGGAGAAGCTGGGTGGAGCCTGGGAATGGCTTAGATGCGTAGGTGGAAATTAGATGTAAGCTGGCTAAGAGAACTATAATTTCAAAGGGGTGTTTGGGGGGGTGGGGGGTGTGGTTGGTAAAGAAAAAAAAAGATCCTTGAAAAAGAAGAGATAAAGGTAAAAGAGGCATTGGTTTGGGGTAAGGGAAATCATAGAAATTGCTTGAAAGACTTGAAAGATCTTTATTTAAGTTAAACTTTCTTCAGGAAAATCTATGAAAATATAATTAAAATATATTATTTCTATAAAACAAAGGTTTTTTTTTTAGATTTTTGTATATAAAAAAGTATATTTTGTTAGCTAGAATATTAAAGAATATGTAAAAATAGTGGGAAATTTTGATTTTTATATTAAAAAGTCAAGAAAAGCCAAAATCTTGATTAAATTAAAAATTAAAATTAATTTTATATAATATTAATATAATAATATAATATATTTTACATTCAAAATTTGTGTAATTGAAATTTTATAATATAAAAAAAATACTTTCCTCTCCAAAATTTCAACTTAAAAGCAAAAATGGGAAAAAATTTAACTAAAAGACCTTAAAAAAGTGTTAAAAGATTATATTAAATTAAAATCTAGTATTAAATTCATTATTTTTAAACTCTGTAAATATAAGAAAAAGCATATATAAAGTTGTAATATAATTTTAAAAATATTTTCCTTTCGAAAACTTCAACTTAAAAGCCAAAATGGAAAAAATTAGAACTTTTAGACCTAAAAAAATGTTAAAAGATTTTATTAAATCCCATCTAATATTAAATTCATTATTTTTAAACTCTATAAATATGAAATAAAAAGGCAACCTTAAATCCTAAAGACTTTTCTCTCACTGCCTGCTGAATGGCTCTTTGTGAGGGCGTCTGATGTTGGCCATGACTAACCGAGCCGAGCCGAGAAGTGCGTTCTGCATCTATGAATAATTCAGAGGTCTCGTCGTGGCAACAATAATACTCGGTACTCTCGGCACATTAATGCAATGCGAACAACTCAAAAGCAAACATAGTCAGTCTACACACAGACACACACATATATACAAACACACACACACACACACACACATATGTGAACAGAAAACACCCACAGAGTGAACTTCTAGCTAACTGTTTCTCTCTGATAGTTTTGTAATGATCAAATTAAATGACTTTGCTTGGGTCTGGTTTGGGTTCTGGTTTCTAGGTTTTCTGAGGGTGGGAGGGTGTTTTAGACAAAAGACTCCTTGGCCTGGCTTAGTGGGAATGATAATGAATTTATTTAAATGACGCGTAATCAGACAGCCAACAGAGAAATGCAAGAGAAGTGAAAGAGAAGGAGGAGGAAATTGTGGTTTTGGGATGGAGGATAAAAGCTGGGACTAAAACAGAGTGTGGACTGTAATTGCTTTTAAAGCTTTTGAGGAATTGTCAACCATTATGTTGGCCTTATCTGGGGTTTTATCCTCTATCTACTATTATCCCCTTTTCCTTTTGGCAAACCGGAAGTGTTGTGTCCGTTTGGTAGGAACCCTTGATTGGTTGTCGGTTAGCCAAACTGGCAATTGCTGATCAAATGAGTTAATATATTCAATGTTTCAATTAAGCCAAGATAAATATCTAACGTTTGGTAGTTAATTTTGGCCAGGGAGGGCAGTTTATATGAGCCGTTAAGAGGAAAAGTTGTGGAAACTTTAAAAGTTTTCATTTGTGGTTATACTAAGCTAACTTTTTGCTTAAAAATATTAAAATTTTATGGCATATTTAAGAGTTTCTGATTGATATATTTGTTATTATAGCCAAAGGGATTTACAATTTTAATAATAATAATAATTCAGAGAGGGAAATGAAGTATAAAATGATAAAAAGTCAAGGTTGATAGTCGCAAGTTAAAATCGAATTTAACATTTTTTGATCCAGAAAGGTATTAAATTTATTAAAATCAATATCATTATGGTTTTTCCCTACCCATTAAGTTTAAATAAAAACATAATTTAAAGATTTTATGGCAGAAATTTAAGTAAAAAAGTGAAAATTCATATAATATTAGGTTGTCAAAAAAGTCTTGCGGTATTTTCGCTAGTTGCCGCTGAAAGCGCTTAGTTCTTGTTTAATTCGTCGCATCAGGTCATACTTTACCTTTTTGGAAAGCTCATTTCACGCGCTAACACGTGTTTGATTGATTGTCCTTTCTTTTAAGTCGTTCAAGAGTTATAGCGTCGCAATCATGGAGCAAAATAAAGAGAAAATACGGCATATTTTACAGTACTACTACGATAAAGGCAAAAATGCATCTCAAGCCGCCAATAAAATTTGTGCAGTTTATGGACCCGATACAGTTTCCATTTCCACCGCCCAACGATGGTATCAACGTTTTCGTTCTGGTGTAGAGGTGGTCGAAGATGCGCCACGCTCCGAGTTTTTTGCCAATAGGGAAGCGAGCTTCTATGAGAGGGCCATTATGAAGTTGGCATCTCGTTGGGAACGCGTCATCGATCAAAACGGCGCATATTTGACTTGAATCGCATTATTGTAACCAATTTGATGCCGCAAGACTTTCTTGACAACCTAATATTTGGCCTTTTACGACTAAAATGCAAACCAAAAAAAATGTTTAAAAAATATCATGAGATCATCTTGACCTTCTCAGAAAATCCTAAGTTTCTTAGCGATTAAAGTTAGCCTTCTCAACTCAGCATTTCTCTTCCCTATATCTTACACAAAAACCCATTCCAGCTAAGGATATACCAGCTCGATTCATTAAGGCCAACTGCAAAAAGGCCAAAAGCAAGAAACCTTGCGAATTAAATGGGTCTTGGGGTTTGGCAGTAAATGGCACAACAATCACAATCAGCTAATGTGTAGAGCCTAATGACCAAAAAGAGCCGCTGAGAAAGGGGATACCTAATAGGTACCCCCACAGCCTCTTTAATGACCCCCCAACCCCCACCCCTTTATACACACTAATGAATTTTTAAGGGATCATCAAAGCATATATATATATATATCTGAGGTTAATTAAGGCAAACCTAATTAAATCTAAATTTATTTTTAATACCTCTCTCTCCTTCTTCATTGCAGGTGCTCACCTTCCTGATTGACTCGTCGCGTTTTCGCTACCCGGAGCGGGCCATCGTCTTTCTGGCCGTCTGCTATTTGGTTGTTGGCTGTGCCTATGTGGCGGGTTTGGGGGCGGGCGATTCGGTGTCGTGCCGTGAACCATTTCCGCCGCCCGTCAAGCTTGGCCGCCTGCAGATGATGTCCACCATCACCCAGGTGAGATGATCCCACAGAAGTCCAGTCCAGGGCCTGGGAAACCAGTACTTAGTCAATTTTTAATGTGGCAACACAGAAAAGATTTTCTTTTTATTTTGATGAAGAGAATATGGACAGTCAGAGAAATTAATATATGGTTTAAGTTTTTATTTTGATAAAATTTTTGTATTTTATTTAAAAAGTTGTTTTAACCATCAAAACCTTTGACTTTCCAGGACTCTCCATTAAAATTAATTTGTATTTTATTGACTGAGTTTTTCTTTTGTTTTTTTTTCCAAAACCAGGGCCACCGCCAAACCACGTCCTGCACGGTTTTATTCATGGCCCTCTACTTCTGCTGCATGGCCGCCTTTGCCTGGTGGTCATGTCTGGCATTCGCTTGGTTTTTGGCCGCCGGCCTTAAATGGGGACACGAGGCGATTGAGAACAAGTCGCACTTATTCCACCTGGTTGCCTGGGCGGTGCCTGCCCTTCAAACCATCTCTGTACTGGCCCTGGCTAAAGTTGAAGGTAAGTTGGATTGAATTTCTAGATCTGGTCAGGATTATTATCGATTATAGCGACCTTGATTGATCTCTCTCTCTCTCGGAGTTCCAATCACACATTCAACGCCCCCCGAAAAAGAAGTTAACTCTAACATTGCTGCGGTTTTTTGGGCAATTTCAAAGCGTTAGACGAAACCGTCATTAGACATCATTTTGTGGCATTAACTGTATCTATTTCTTGTGGCTATGACCGGGTTGCTATCAGCTAGGAAAAGGTACAAGAAAAAAAGTTAAGAAAACCAACAAATAGTTAAAAGATGAAAAGGGCAAGGCAGTGGTTTGAGGTGGTCAAAAAAGGGGGGAGGAAATTTTGGATGTTTGGAAAGTTAAAATAAAATCCTGAAGATAAAAACTTTTAAAGCTAAAACTTTAAGAATTTAAAGTTGTTTTTAATTTAGATCACAAATATATATTTTTATCCAATTTTTAACCACTTAGTACCACTGTAAAAATGCGTATGCCGCTTGTTTCTGCCTCATTTTGTGGCTCATTTGGGAATGAATTCTTGAGCTGGGCTCGGTTATTTGGGTCTTGGGATACTGAGATACTTTCGGTAGGCTTCTAATGCGGCTGTCCGCGATTTCTAAACAATTTAATGACCTACGTGGTCGTGGCCAGACACGAAATAAATCTTGATGGCCAACCAAAAAAAAAAAAATGTAAAACTTGGCGAGAGTAAAAAAAAGACTGAAAACGGTCACGTTAAAGTGCCGTAAAAATTTGTTGGACTTCAGATGAGTTTCTTCTTCTTCTTTCTATATATATATATATCTTTTCTATATATATTTTTCTTACCAAGTCAAAGAACAAGAGCTAAACTAATTCGCTTAACGCGCTGCCACTAAGCCTAACTTGGTGGCCTTTTTCGTTTGCTGCTCCATTCTTGGGCTCATTTCACATTTTTGGGCTTAATTAGATTGCGGCTTAATGACTCAATTGTGTTTGCCAGCCAGCCTATGCTCTCTCTTCCCTCCCCTTCACCACCCCTCTCTCAATCTATCTCTCTCATCTGATAACTATGCTTCTCTTTCTATAACACGGGACAATTTCCAATACGACCAGACGGTAGTAATTAAATACAGCCAGCACATGATTATGGCTTGTTAGGCAAATCGAATGAAAGTCATAGACAATTTGAGGGTGGGGGGGGTGGAGCCTGTTAAGAGGAGAGGTTGTGGGGGGGGGGGTTTGAGCATCTCTGTTGATGGGCACTTATAGACCCAACATTAACTGGGTCTACTTAATGCTTACGGACGGTTACGTAATTGCAGGGAGTGAGCGAGGTTAGGTGCCAGCTTAACACTGGATTAGCGTTGCATTGTGGTAAAACGGGCCTGCGAATTAGCCAACTTCATTGCAAATCCTGGCAAATGCCAGGTCACGAGTTAGTGGATTTCATAAGTCAATCAAATGGGGGGGAGTTATGGTTATGCAACTGAAAATTTGATTATGATTTAACAAGTTAATAAATAAAAACGATTAAATATTAATAAAATAAAAAAGAAGCTTTTGAAAGCTTTTTTCATGAACAAAAACTCATAACTAATAAAAACAAACATTAAAAAATACTTCATAAAATTTATTAAAAATTAAACTTTATAGTTTAATAACTTTATAATGACTTCATGATTTTGCAACCATAATAAACTTAAAATTCCAACGAATAAAGCTAAAAGCTGCTTCTTGGTTTAAAACCAAATTACTTTTCCATCACTTTAAATCTCAATTTCCACATTAGACTTCCCCTTTTCTCAGCAATTTCCCGGCTATGAGCAATTTTTCAATTGCTTAACAAATATAATCAAAAATTTCCACTCTAGCCTAAGCGGCAAACCGACAAACACTCGAGAGACTCTCGCTAATGCATGCAAAATGCCAAAAGCCATAAAAAACATATTTTCCTCTCTCATCGCATCTTATATAAAAAAAATACAAAAAAAAAAAATATGGAAAAAAAACATTAAAATCCCTGGCGCTGGAAACGATTTATGGGAAAAGTCTCCGAAAAAAAAATTAAAATAAAATGATGACTTAATGCACTGCAAGCGACCAGCGAAAATTGCTGGGGCACTCCTTGAGATGCTTCGGTAAGAAAATAACAGTAAATGGAAAGGAACAGGCGCAGCGGGCTTATACACTGTGAAGAAAAGAAAAAGAAAAGAAGAAGTTTTTTTTTTAATTTCTTAAGCCTACTCTTAATGTTAATTAAGCTTAAGATTCTAATAGATTTTTATGTTCATAAATCACTTTTTGATCGAAATTTTTGGGAACACATAATAATATAGTATAAAAATGTAGGCGCCATGCTCTTTCTGTGTTCTCTTTCTGCTGTACTGTTCTCTTTCTGTGTTCAAAAACTAACTGTTCTTTATTCCTTTATACATTCCATCTTAGCTTAATTTTTTCATGTATTGGTGACATTTGCTGATGGTGCGAACGAGACAAGAGTAAGGGAGAGGCCACATTGCTTACAATGTTTACAGATAATTGTGTATAGAAATGTAACTTAGTGTGACTGTTTGCTATACATCTTAGTAGGACCGCTTTTATATTATAATATAATATAAAAATTTATCAAAATCAATTTCTCTCACTGCATCCTCCCCTTCAGAAACCATTCAACGGCAATTAATGTTAAATTTAAAAATACATTATTTTAATGTGTCGTCAGATGGAGTAAGCCATAGGCAGAGGGATGGGACGGGACAGTTGTTGCTTGGGCGTTGATGATGGCGGTAGACTTACAACAACAACAGCAACAACAGGAACAGCTACCTATAGAAACAGCAACAACCATATAACAGAAACATCGACTGCTTTTTGGGTAAACAAAGACTTGGCAATGCTCGAGGCGGGAAGCTTGGAAGCTTTGGCCGCCGGCTACGTGCATTGAATCCGTAATTTGCGCACGTTCGTCGCAAACATTGAATAATGCTCAGAGATATACCTACAGAATATCCCTCATCTTGCCACTCCCCTTTAAACACTTCTGGCCAAGTAAATAACAGACAGGACGTACTTGTAGATGAAAGGTAGGGTGGGAAAAGGGGAAGCTAACAATTTGTATTGACTTCACAACGCGTTGGCAGCTCATTTGATGGATTTCACCTCCTCCAGAGAAGGAGACCTATGAATCACCTTTACCTGTCCACCAGCAAATGTCCAGTTCCGTAGAGAATCCCATTTGCTTTGTGCTTGGAATATTAATTAAGGAAAATTGGTTTTCTGTTTGATTTTTTGACCTAAAGACATATGAAATTTGAAGTTTTTGAATGAAGTTTTCCACTTGTTAGTTTCTGAAATGCAGTTCCGTTTTAGAAAAAGTAATAATATTAGATTTATACAGGAAAATCAATAGATTTTAATTATATAACCCAACAAATACCTCACCTTTACATACCTTTTAGATCACAAACTCTACCCATATTATTTTCCAAACTCACGAAAATCTCTAAGTATACCCCTAAATTGTTAACCAGGCCCAAAGGCAACAATTTGCCTTACTTGTCTAGAATTTATTACCATTTTGTAGACACGCTCAACAATTATTTTTCATTTATAAGAACGTAGAAAAAGAAAACAAAGCAAAAAAAAAAAAAAGAAACGAACCAGCAAGAAGAAAATATGCAAATTAACAGAAAACCAAAAGAGACGCAGAGCAAAGGAAAATTAACAATTTGTTGCGCTTTTGCAAAATTATATGCCTTGGAGTCGTAAGTCCGCTGAAGAGACTTTTCCGCGCTCGCCTTTTTCTTTTCTTCATTTGTCAAGTTATTAAAGAGCCAACTGGAGTGGAGCAGAGGAGCAGAACTAAATTAACATAATTTATCCAAGGCGGACTTGCTTTTTTTTTTTCCTTCTTACAAGAGAGAAAGAGATTCCAAAGCGGAGTAGGATAAAGGTACAGTGGGTAATCGAGAGGTTAAAAAGGAAAATACTAAATATTTGAAAACTAAAGACAATGTGTCTTTAAATGTTCTAAAAGAAATGTTCTAAAAAGAAGAGGAAAATGCATTTGGAAATGCATTTGGTCAGCTAGCAGGAAAGTCAGATGAAAATGTTATGCAAGTGCAGGCGGAATTTTTGTTCCAAGGATCATGCAATAAGAGATGGCTTGCTCTTTGAACTTTTTCTCTTCCATCTCCGTTTTGCGCTAGCTAACCATCTCGTTCACTCTGCACTCTAGAGTGCTCCCTGCATAATCAAATAATGCGCTTTGGCATTGCAGTTGTGTTGGCATGGCAATCGTGGCAAACATAACCCACACATATAGAACTGAAATGAAATGAATTAGAGTGAAGAGTGAGTAGTGAGTGGCAAATGAAAAACTAAAGTCGAAGAAGCACTTTTCTCGCATTCGAGTCACATAAACGGACAGAGACAATCGACGGACATAGACTCTAAGATATACAAAGAGAGAGAAAGAGAGCTTGAGTTTAGGAGGGAGAAGGCAAATATGCAGCTTTGGGGACAAAAACTTTGCCTGTATAGAATCTATAAATAGTGGGAATTGATAATATAAAGGGAAGTTTTAAAGAAAGCCATACCCTGTTAAGCAATGTTAATGATATTTTTGTAAATCTAGATTTTTAATATCGAACATAACAAACTTAAACATAATCTTAAAAATCTAATAAAATTCAACTACCTTCCTGTACAATAGCAATAAATTCCTAAATAGACAGATTTTTATAGGCTTTTACTACCATAATCCCACGGTCCATAAAATCCTTATTTAATAATGGGAAAATAACTCGAAAATGTGGAATCGTGTTGGCTGTCTATAACCGATAACTCCCAAGTTTATATACCCCTTAAAATGATTGAAAGTCAATCCATATGAAGAAGCCACAATGCAGTTGACCGCAGTAGCAATAGCAACAGCAGCAGCAGCAGCAGCAACAGCAGCAATAAAAACTGCAACACCAACATGCAGCATAGCAACACGAACAATGTGCGTTGAAT